TGTCTGTGTTTCACTTTGTGTTTGTGGGTTTTTGTTCCGTGTTCGGTCATTGTCACTGAGGACTTCACGAGTCGTTTATTGTTTTGTTATTTCGTGTGTATGCTTTAATTAAATAAAGCAAGTATGTTCGCTACTAACGCTGCGCTTTGGTCCACTCCGTCATACGACGTTCGTGACAGAAAAACCCACCGTAAAAGGACCAAGCAGCGTGTCCAGGAGCAGGCAGACTGGACATGGGAGGAAGCGCCAGGAAAGGAGATGGAGAGGCTGGCGATGGCCCAGGTGGGCAAATCGTGGTCCTGGGAAGACATGCTCGGGGGCAAGGGACCTTGGGGTAGGATTAAGGCCCTGGCGAGAGAGGAGCAGCGGCGTCAGCAGTGCCATCGTCGGAAGGACGAGAGGCACCCCCAAGAATTTTTTAGGGGGGGGCACACGGCATGGGCGACTGGGCAGCAGGAGGCTGCCACAGGGCGAAATGGGAGACGAGGAGAGAAGGCCACCGGGTTACGGGAGCCATTGGCGAGAGGAGGGAAGGAAGTTGTAGAGGCACGGCGAGAGGTACTGAGGTGTATTGCCAGTCCGGTCCGGCCCGTTCCTGATCCCCGTTTAAGGCCAGTGGTGTGTGTTCCCAGTACGGTTCGGCCTGTTCCTGCTCCACGCACCAAGCCTACGGTGTGCGTCGCCAGCCCAGCCCGGCCTGTCCCTGCTCCACGCACCAAGCCTACGGTGTGCGTCGCCAGCCCAGCCCGGCCTGTTCCTGCTCCACGCACCAAGCCTACGGTGTGCGTCGCCAGCCCAGTCCGGCCAGTTGCTGCTCCACGCACCAAGCCTACGGTGTGTGTCGCCAGCCCAGCCCGGCCTGTTCCTGCTCCACGCACCAAGCCTACGGTGTGCGTCGCCAGCCCAGTCCGGCCAGTTGCTGCTCCACGCACCAAGCCTACGGTGTGCGTCGCCAGCCCAGCCCGGCCTGTCCCTGCTCCACGCACCAAGCCTACGGTGTGCGTCGTCAGCCCAGCCCGGCCTGTCCCTGCTCCACGCACCAAGCCTACGGTGTGCGTCGCCAGCCCTGCCCGGCCTGTTCCTGCTCCACGCACCAAGCCTACGGTGTGCGTCGACAGCCCAGCCCGGCCTGTCCCTGCTCCACGCACCAAACCTACGGTGTGCGTCGCCAGCCCAGCCCGGCCTGTTCCTGCTCCACGCACCAAGCCTACGGTGTGCGTCGCCAGCCCTGTCCGGCCTGTCCCTGCTCCACGCACCAAGCCTACGGTGTGCGTCGACAGCCCAGTCCGGCCTGTCCCTGCTCCACGCACCAAACCTACGGTGTGCGTCGCCAGCCCAGCCCGGCCTGTTCCTGCTCCACGCACCAAGCCTACGGTGTGCGTCGCCAGCCCTGCCCGGCCTGTCCCTGCTCCACGCACCAAGCCTACGGTGTGCGTCGCCAGCCCTGTCCGGCCTGTCCCTGCTCCACGCACCAAGCCTACGGTGTGCGTCGTCAGCCCAGCCCGGCCTGTCCCTGCTCCACGCACCAAGCCTACGGGGTGCGTCGCCAGCCCGGCCCGGCCTGTCCCTGCTCCACGCACCAAGTCTACGGTGCGCGTCGCCAGCCCGGTCCGGCCTGTTCCTGCCACTCGCACCAAGTCTACGGTGCGCGTCGCCAGCCCGGCCCGGCCCGTTCCTGCCACTCGCACCAAGCCAGGGGTGCGAGTCGTCAGTCCGGCACAACCCGTGCCTGGGTCATCGGTGCCAATTCAGGTACCGCTCTACTGCTCCACTAAGGAGCTGAAGCCTACCGCTCCTGCTACGTCCAGTCCAGCTCCAGCCAGCGGGGCCAGACCGGACCAGGGGCGCTATGGGGGGTTTGTTGGAGGGTGGTGGGCAAGCCCGGAGCCGGAGCCGCCGCCGAGGAGGAATGCCCACCCAGCCCTCCCGTTTTGCTCGTATTTAGGCGCGGTCGCAGTCCTTTAGGGGGGGGGTACTGTCACACCCTGGCTCTGGGACTCATTATGTTGAGCCAGGGTGTGTTCATTCTATGTGTTCTGTTTCTTTGTTGGGTGTTCTAGGTTGTTTATTTCTATGTTTAACTGAGTGACTCCCAATCAGAGGCAACGAGTGTCAGCTGTGTGCTGGTTGTCTCTGATTGGGAGCCATATTTAACTGTCTGTGTTTCACTTTGTGTTTGTGGGTTTTTGTTCCGTGTTCGGTCATTGTCACTGAGGACTTCACGAGTCGTTTATTGTTTTGTTATTTCGTGTGTATGCTTTAATTAAATAAAGCAAGTATGTTCGCTACTAACGCTGCGCTTTGGTCCACTCCTTCATACGACGTTCGTGACAAACCATTAACAAACACCTTATAAATAATCTTATGAGTTGACAATAACTCCTTGACAGCTGTTTTATAAGTACATTAGTAGTACATTATTAATAATTTACAAATTGTGAACATGCTATGATCAAACAATTTATTAATTATCTTATAAATCATTAATAATCATTTAAAATGACGTTTATAAATGCGTAAACGACTGTTTAGAGATTGCTTAGTGACATTTACAAATGTAGGAATAATGATTACTAAGTGGTAAGTAAACTCTTTACAGACTGTTTAAACATGGTTTATTAAGGGACCTTAATATAAAGTGTTACCATATTGTCAATAACATGCCTGCAGGGTTGGTTGGGTAGGTTACTTTCTAAATGTAATCCGTTAGAGTTACTAGTTGCCTGTCCAAAATTGTAATCAGTAATGTAACTTTTGGAATGCCCAAACTCAGAAATGTAATCTGATTACTTTCAGTTACATTTTGATTACTGTCCCTTTAAGAGGCATTAGAAGAAGACAAAAAGGATCCATCAAACGCATTTGGTGTATCATCATAGTGGTCTCTGATTGGTGGTCATCATTTGGTGTGTCATCATAGTGGTCTCTGACTGGTGGTCATCATTTGGTGTGTCATCATAGTAGTCTCTGACTGGTGGTCATCATTTGGTGTGTCATCATAGTGGTCTCTGATTGGTGGTCATCATTTGGTGTGTCATCATAGTGGTCTCTGACTGGTGGTCATCATTTGGTGTGTCATCATAGTGGTCTCTGACTGGTGGTCATCATTTGGTGTGTCATCATAGTGGTCTCTGACTGGTGGTCATCATTTGGTGGGTCATCATAGTGGTCTCTGATTGGTGGTCATCATTTGGTGTGTCATCATAGTGGTCTCTGATTGGTGGTCATCATAGTGGTCTCTGATTGGTGGTCATCATTTGGTGTGTCATCATAGTGGTCTCTGATTGGTGGTCATCATTTGGTGTGTCATCATAGTGGTCTCTGATTGGTGGTCATCATAGTGGTCTCTGATTGGTGGTCATCATTTGGTGTGTCATCATAGTGGTCTCTGATTGGTGGTCATCATTTGGTGTGTCATCATAGTGGTCTCTGATTGGTGGTCATCATAGTGGTCTCTGATTGGTGGTCATCATTTGGTGTGTCATCATGGTGGTCTTTGACTGGTGGTCATCATTTGGTGTGTCATCATAGTGGTCTCTGATTGGTGGTCATCATTTGGTGTGTCATCATAGTGGTCTCTGATTGGTGGTCATCATTTGGTGTGTCATCATAGTGGTCTCTGACTTGTGGTCAGAGTCTCTCAGGAGGAACAAACTTAAACTTGTGTCTTTTCACAATTGAATGTCATTGAGAAAAAAGAACGGTGTCATAATGTATTTTTTCCCGCAAACATCCTTTCTGAATTTAAAAGTAATGGAAGAAATAACCATCTTGTTTTTCAAAAGTATCTGTAACCTGATTACAATCTTTTTGCTTGTAACGTAACTGATGGTTATCAGATTACTTTTAATCAATTACTCCCCAACCTTGCCTGCATGTGTCATAATCACTTGGCTGGAAGAAAACCAGCTCTGAGAGTTTGCTGTTGGTAAAGTATTTTCAAAAGAAAACCACAAGACTATTGTTGCATGTAACAATGGTCTCAATTTCTTTGAAATGTTTACCACACGGTACCATTTAGTTTGAAGCTAGAAGGGAGAGGGCCCAAGCATATGTAAGTCATTGGTGTTATTACTTTGATTGTGTGCTTTCTCAGCAAACGCTGAATTATTTCACTTCCATATGAATATGGAACTTTTTATTTTACTTTTATTTAACCAGGAAAAGCCAATTGAGACACAATCTCTTTTGCAAGGGAGGCCTGGCCAAGAAGGCAGCAGCAATCAACACAACATTAAAGCAATGTTAAACATACAATACAATCAGCACAACAACATGATCCGGCCTATAGAGAACATTTACACTCCTCCTGAACAGAGTTTTGCACCGGAGTTTTAAACTCATTTTAGTATTAGTAGATAGATACATTCGTACTTGTTCAGGGAATTATTAAAATGATGTATATACTTGTGTTTTATTGTTGTATTACACAAAACAGAGAAAATGCCGATATCTATATAAAGATATGTGAAAACTCAAACACACCAATAAATATATGGATCAGATAGTCATAATAAATACACATTATACTCGCAAAGCAAACATTTGTTGTTCAATGATGCCCATATCCTTCCTCACAATTGTTTTTCTGGTGGCCAGTCATCCCAGATAATCAGTGATTTATTTGGGCAGGAGCTCACCGGAACTGAGTACAGGCACCTCAAATGTTCTACTGCTTGAGTTCCTGCACCTCTTATATAATATTAGCTCGAAAGAATATACATTACATTTGCTTACTGCTGAGAGCTAAAATGGTCGGCTTGACATACAAATATTAATGTTGAATCAAAGAGGATATTTACATATATTTACATGTGTCTAAACCATTGGTCTTCATTGACATCAAAGAAATGCTGTATACAGTACAAGGTGAAGAAGTGGAGTAGGGGGAGTTTCCATATTGCCCATATGGTCCATCAATAGCTCTGGTCCATGGTGTTATGTGTGGCTTGCTGATGCTGAGCCTTCTGTGAAACGGAAAGTAACGCCCTGGACCAGAGCTAGTCCATCATATTGTCTCCTAGCTGTAGTAAAGATAAATCCAGGGGTTGGTACAGCTGTTCAGACTGGCAAGCAGCATGATGATGACAAATACTGGACCTGAGAGAGAGAGAGAGAGAGAGAGAGAGAGAGAGTGAGAGAGTGAGAGAGAGAGAGAGAGAGAGAGAGAGAGAGAGAGAGAGAGAGAGAGAGAGAGAGAGAGAGAGAGAGAGAGAGAGAGAGAGAGAGGATATGGCATGAGAAAAATAGCACTGCAGGTATTCACAGAAAAATGGGAAAGGTCATGCAAATCAATGGAACTGGAGGCCAATCAGTGTGAATAAACTAGATGCCTGTGGTGGCACAAGGCTATTAATGATTTATGCCATAGTTGACAGTAAGCCACTCTGTGCTTAATAGATTCAAACTTACTTAGAATGAAACATTGATTTCTGATCCCAAAGTGTATTGGTCGCGTACACAGTTTAGCAGATGTTATAGCAGGTGCAGCGAAATGCTTATGTTACTAGCTCCTAACAATGTAGTAAAATGTCAAACAGGTACACAAATAATCAATTTAAAAAACAAAAGAACAGACAACAAATCTGACTTACCATTTGTGGGCGCAGTACTGGGACTCCATGCAGACCACAACTGGACCACAAAGAAGGGGCTCCAGCATATTGAGTAGACCATAATGATGACGAATGTCATTTTGACCGTCTTCAACATCGCGCTCGAGACCCCTTTGGTGCCCGTGCGCCCGTCGCTCGTGGAAGCCTGGAGCGCCTTTCTCTTCATGTTAAAGTATATCCCCGTGCATATTTTAATCTGGCAGTACAGCAAGATGATAACCGGGAGAACAAACACTGATAAAGAAATCCAGCTGATGTATATCTTAGAACCCCAAGGTTCGATAAATGTCGCCCAACAATCATACAGGTTGTCCTCTAGTTCTTGAAGAGAGAAGATGAAGAGTTGCGGGGTGCTGAAAGCCAGAGAGATCAGCCACGCTGAGCCTATGGCGACGTACCTCTTAAAGGAACCCTTCAAGAACGACACCATGGGTTTGCAGACTGCATGGTACCGGTCAATGGTCATGGCCACTATCATGTATGTGGAGGCGAACATCCCAACCACCTGAAGATATTTCACCGACCTACAGACGAAATCTGAGCCCCGGAACCGGTGCGTAATCTCCATGCAGAGCTGCGGTAGGACTTGGAAGAAAGCGACCACCAGGTCCGCAAAGCACAGGTGCAGAAGGAACAGTTGGGTCCTTGTATTCATCTTGCGCTTCCTCCAAAGTGCATGTAGAAGGCACAAATTCCCACATGTGGCTAAGACAAAAATCAATCCCAAAACTCCAGCTTTTAGAAGCGCATTGTCGTGTCCACCTGTTTTATCGGTTCCTCCCGCGACCTCCCGCTCTGAACTGCTATTGCCACTATAATTGAGTTGTAAACTCATTGTTCCTTGCACTATTTCTTGGTTACTATTAGTTTTTTCATTGTTAATTATGTTCTGAAAATTCGGTCCAATACTCTCCTGTTGGCAATTCGGCCACTATCTCTCTCCTATTCTGCGCAGTAGCTCTGTGCAGTAGCAACAAGTGCTTTTGCTTGCAGCAGCGTCGTATTTGCCTGACGACGCACCCTTACGACTCACCCTGAATTTAATTCGCTGCTCCATCGATCGCTACATACGGTTAAGAAACGTCAGTTTGGCCGGAGCTGCAGTATGTGGTTGGGGTAGCCCTGCAAGCATCGTCTGACTGTGACATTTTGTTCGGGCCATCAGCGTCTGAGAAAAGATGGGCAGCAATGACAGGTGCACCAGAGCTGTAGGCCTGTTTATATATGGCTCTGGATGCACGGATGAAATCAGAATGCGCTATTATAGGTGCGCAGTGCGCAATCCTAGAGTGAAATGAACATCCAGGCTACAGGTTCAATATGAACACCTCCTTTGGCTTCACAAGTGAAGGCACATTAATGTCCTTCAATGTACCTAATTTCCATTTTCTGTCAATATCAATTGTAGACCTAGAGCTGTACGTCATCACCACCAGCCACATAGGCCTAATGAAAAGCCTTCCACAAAATACAAAGGGTCAGACTACATCCACCCCTAAAGAAGATTCCTTCACATGGAATCCATGTTGAATATCATTGATAAAACTGAGGTATAAGGATTTGCATCCTTTACATTTAAACGTAAAATAACATTGGTCATGCATTTCCCCATCGGCATCCATGCATCAACATGGCCCGTGTTTATTTAAAAGCATCAAGTCAACAACTGTATTGACGGGTCATAGGGGATATTCTTGGAGAAAATGAATTCCTAGAGATTCAGACTGTGGTAAATGTCATATTGTGAAATTATGTGTTTATACCATCACTCTGGCTTCTGTGAGAGCACTTCTCTGAGTCCTGTTTCACTTAGTGCCTTTGTGACGATCATGAAGAAAAAGTCATTTGTACTTATCAGCAGGAAAGCACATATCTGAAAGGATGTATTGAAGCTGAGATTTGTGTCTGGCAGCATGCTGAGCCTGCTGAGTGCTGTTATTCATTATCCACAACCTCTCCACACCATGGTTGTATCCCAAATGGCACCCTATTCCCTATATAGTGCACTACTTTAGACCACATGGGCCCTGGTCAAAAGTAGTGCACTATATAGGGAATAGGGTGCCATTTGGGATGCAAACCACATCATGCTAGAATAAATGGCTCTTCTCCTTCAATGTGAGGACACTCCAACACTGTTCATGATGCTGTTAAGAACCCCATAATAGTATTTTCCAACTATACATCTATTATGCAGTTCATGCCACCCGTCGTGCCACCCGTCATTCCACCCTTCCATGCCACCTGTAATGCCACCCGTCCATGCCACCTGTCGTGCCACCTGTCATGCCACCCTTCCATGCCACCCGTCATGCCACCCGTCCATGCCACCCATCATGCCACCCGTCTGCTACCCGTCTATTCCACCCGTCATGCCACCCTTCCATGCCACCCGTCATGCCACCCGTCATGCTCAGCGACAGGGAGCAATATGATCAGGGCAACATACATACAGACGTAATGTGAATACATTAGTGATGCTCTAAAGCTTGCCGTCATAAAGCGAATCAAAAATAGACCCTCTTTTAGATGATTCATCCAGTGTTCATCATATCTCCATTGCTGCTTCTTCTGTCTTCAGATATCGACTGTTGCACAGCATGTACTGTATGCCTAAGATATATACAGCACCATCTACTCATTCCAGGGTTTTTCTTTATTTTTACTATTTTCTACATTGTAGAATAATAGTGAAGACATCAAAACTATGAAATAACACATATGGAATCATGTAGTAACCAATAAAGTGTTAAACAAATCAAAATCTATTTTATAGTTGAAGTCAGAAGTTTACATACACTTAGGTTGGAGTCATTAAAACTCGTTTTTCAACCACTCCACAAATTTCTTGTTAACAAACTATAGTTTTGGCAAGTCGGTTAGGACATATACAGTGGGGAAAAAAAGTATTTAGTCAGCCACCAATTGTGCAAGTTCTCCCACTTAAAAAGATGAGAGAGGCCTGTAATTTTCATCATAGGTACACGTCAACTATGACAGACAAAATGAGAAAAAAAAATCCAGAAAATCACATTGTAGGATTTTTAATGAATTTATTTGCAAATTATGGTGGAAAATAAGTATTTGGTCAATAACAAAAGTTTCTCAATACTTTGTTATATACCCTTTGTTGGCAATGACACAGGTCAAACGTTTTCTGTAAGTCTTCACAAGGTTTTCACACACTGTTGCTGGTATTTTGGCCCATTCCTCCATGCAGATCTCCTCTAGAGCAGTGATGTTTTGGGGCTGTCGCTGGGCAACACGGACTTTCAACTCCCTCCAAAGATTTTATATGGGGTTGAGATCTGGAGACTGGCTAGGCCACTCCAGGACCTTGAAATGCTTCTTACGAAGCCACTCCTTCATTGCCCGGGCGATGTGTTTGGGATCATTGTCATGCTGAAAGACCCAGCCACGTTTCATCTTCAATGCCCTTGCTGATGGAAGGAGGTTTTCACTCAAAATCTCACGATACATGGCCCCATTCATTCTTTCCTTTACACAGATCAGTCGTCCTCATTCATTCTTTCCTTTACACAGATCAGTCGTCCTGGTCCCTTTGCAGAAAAACAGCCCCAAAGCATGATGTTTCCACCCCCATGCTTCACAGTAGGTATGGTGTTCTTTGGATGCAACTCAGCATTCTTTGTCCTCCAAACACGACGAGTTGAGTTTTTACCAAAAAGTTATATTTTGGTTTCATCTGACCATATGACATTCTCCCAATCCTCTTCTGGATCATCCAAATGCACTCTAGCAAACTTCAGACGGGCCTGGACATGTACTGGCTTAAGCAGGGGGACACGTCTGGCACTGCAGGATTTGAGTCCCTGGCGGCGTAGTGTGTTACTGATGGTAGGCTTTGTTACTTTGGTCCCAGCTCTCTGCAGGTCATTCACTAGGTCCCCCCGTGTGGTTCTGGGATTTTTGCTCACCGTTCTTGTGATCATTTTGACCCCACGGGGTGAGATCTTGCGTGGAGCCCCAGATCGAGGGAGATTATCAGTGGTGTTGTATGTCTTCCATTTCCTAATAATTGCTCCCACAGTTGAGTTCTTCAAACCAAGCTGCTTACCTATTGCAGATTCAGTCTTCCCAGCCTGGTGCAGGTCTACAATTTTGTTTCTGGTGTCCTTTGACAGCTCTTTGGTCTTGGCCATAGTGGAGTTTGGAGTGTGACTGTTTGAGGTTGTGGACAGGTGTCTTTTATACTGATAACAAGTTCAAACAGGTGCCATTAATACAGGTAACGAGTGGAGGACAGAGGAGTCTCTTAAAGAAGAAGTTACAGGTCTGTGAGAGCCAGAAATCTTGCTTGTTTGTAGGTGACCAAATACTTATTTTCCACCATAATTTGCAAATAAATTCATTAAAAATCCTACAATGTGATTTTCTGGATTTATTTTTCTCAATTTGTCTGTCATAGTTGACGTGTACCTATGATGGAAATTACAGGCCTCTCTCATCTTTTTAAGTGGGAGAACTTGCACAATTGGTGGCTGACTAAACACTTTTTTTCCCCACTGTACTTTGTGCATGACACAAGTAATTTTTCCAACAATTGTTTACAGACAGATTATTTCACTTATAATTCACTGTATCACAATTCCAGTGGGTCAGAAGTTTACATACACTAAGTTGACTGTGCCTTTAAACAGCTTGGAAAATGATGTCATGGCTTTAGAAGCTTCTGATAGGCTAATTGACATAATTTTATTCAATTGGAGGTGTACCTGTGGATGTATTTCAAGGCCTACCTTCATACTCAGTGCCTCTTTGCTTGTCATCATGGGAAAATCAAAAGAAATCAGCCAAGACCTCAGAAAAAAATTGTAGACTTCCACAAGTCTGGTTCATTCTTGGGAGCAATTTCCAAACGCCTGAAGGTACCACGTTCATCTGTACAAACAATAGTACGCAAGTATAAACACCATGGGACCACGCAGCCGTCATACCGCTCAGGAAGGAGACACTTTCTGTCTCCTAGAGATGAACGTACTTTGGTGCGAAAAGTGCAAATCAATCCCAGAAAAACAGCAAAGGACCTTGTGAAGATGCTGGAGGAAACAGGTACAAAAGTATCTATATCCACAGTAAAAACGAGTCCTATATCGACATAACCTGAAAGACCGCTCAGCAAGGAAGAAGCCACTGCTCCAAAACCGCCATAAAAAAGCCAGACTACGGTTTGCAACTGCACATGGGGACAAAGATTGTACTTTTTGGAGAAATGTCCTCTGGTCTGATGAAACAAAAACTGCTTGGCCATAATGACCATCGTTATGTTTGGAGGAAAAAGGGGGATGGCTTGCAAGCCGAAGAACATCATCCCAACCGTGAAGCATGGGGGTGGCAGCATCATGCTGTGGGGGTGCTTTGCTGCAGGAGGGACTGGTGCACTTCACAAAATAGATAGCATCATGAGGAAGGAAAATTATGTGGATATATTGAAGCAACATCTCAAGACATCAGTTAGGAAGTTAAAGCTTGGTCGCAATTTGGGTCTTCCAAATGGACAATGACCCCAAGCATACTTCCAAAGTTGTGGCAAAATGGCTTAAGGACAACAAAGTCAGGGTATTGGAGTGGCCATCACAAAGCCCTGACCTCAATTCTATAGAAAATGTGTGGGCAGAACTGAAAAAGCGTGTGCGAGCAAGGAGGCCTACAAACCTGACTCAGTTACACCAGCTCTGTCAGGAGGAATGGGCCAAAATTCACCCAACTTATTGTGGGAAGCTTGTGGAAGGCTACCTGAAACGTTTGACCCAAGTTAAACAATTTAAAGGCAATGCTACCAAATACTCATTGTGTGTATGTAAACTTCTGACC